ACCGGTTGGTCGGCGAACCCAGAAGTAAGTAACTTCCGGGAACGGCGAAGGGCCCAGTCGCCCGCCCGCGCTCCTTACCCGGTTTTGACGAGTTCTGCACTTCCACGCATGCGCAGGACGCATACAGCGCCTGCGCGATCCTCCAGGAGCAGCTGGAGCATCGCACAGACGCTAGTACACATGCGTGCACTGCGCGCGTGCACGAGGACGCCGCCGCCCCCGTTCCAACCGAACCGGTTGGAACAGGGCGAGAAACCCACCCCTGGGTTGTGTACTTGCAGCCTGATTTCAAAAATATTTCCAAATCTTTAGATCTACCCCAGTCTTTTTTTCTCTTATTTAAAGTGCTTAGTGAAGTCTTTTCCTATTCAGCGTTTATACAGTGTCTATATTCTAACTCTCAAGACAAAGCAAAATAGTAAAATTTTAATAGCAAATATTGTATAATGTTAGCTGACTTTTCTCTGCAATAATTATTGTTCCGGTCCTCCTTGAATCAATAATGAGAGATTTTTGCTGACTTTAGTCCTAGGGAGTGGGATCTAAGGTTTAATGTTCGTAATGGCACATTATCAATTGGTGGATCATAAACTCAAAAACACCTATTAAAACAGATTGCAATATTTGGGGTATTAGTACTAGTTCTGTGTCTACAGCACATATACTTTTGTTTAATAACTCAGTTTGAAATTGGCACAATCATTTGCCTTTCATTCCTTTTATTTTTTGGAAGAACCCAAAAAGACTTGCAATTATTCAGGGTATCTCATCTGTTAATTGAAATAAGGAAAGCCCAGAGCTTGTGAGTAAGGTGAAAAAAATTCTTCAAAGAAGGAAATGGATGCATCTGTATTGTTGCTGTGAGAATGGAGATTTGCACGGAGTCAATTGGGGTCAAGCTCAACTTGAAAACCACTTTTATTTTTTTGCAAGTGTGAAATATTCATGTTTGAAACTAAATGATGTGTTTTCAGGAAGCAAGGTCTGTTGAATCAATCCGGGTTTCTTTCAGATAAATAAAATCACCAATTTATAACATGACTTTCTTTGAACTGACAAATGCTTTTTATCGGTTTGTCTCCTATTTATTTAAGGATAATTTAATTGGCTATAATTGAAAACTATTTTTCACGAAACATGGCTTTGGATAAGGTACTCTGCATTTACAGGAAAGGTATTCAAATCCAGGAAGTTAACCACTGCATTGACAGTTTGAAAAAGAGAGAACTGAAATTTAAAAGTTTCTGTATATAATATTTTTGTATCCTAAAGGGATTTCCATTCATTGTTCATTGAGAACCAGGATCTCACATGGCAACTAAGAGCCGAGGTGGCGCAGTGGTTAGAGTGCAGTACTGCAGGCCACTTCAGCTGACTGCTATCTGCAGTTCAGCGGTTCAAATCTCACTGGCTCAAGGTTTGCTCAGCCTTCCATCCTTCCGAGGTGGGTGAAATGAGGACCCGGATTGTTGGGGGCGATA